CCTCCCCTTCTCCCTCCCTTTCCGCTCTTCAAAATCAAATTCCGCCTTCTGGCCTAGAAATGAACTGTGTGAAGAAAATTTCGCTCCAAAAAATCGCCTTGAAAGACTGTTGGATCAGGTTCCTTTTTGCCTTGAGCGGTCGTAGTACATGGCGTTCAGCAGCTTTTGAACTTTTCTTGATTCGTGTTCACCTCAGAATCGTTCGTATCTTTGTGACCATAAATAACCTATGCGAAAGTTTATCAAAAAAAAACGACCTAAGATCACACCATATGCGTAGTAACTTACGATTAGGCGAAAAAAGAAAAACAGTCTGATCAAGTGCCCTTTCTGTGAGCAATCTTTTTGAAGCGAAATTCCACACAGACTCAACGGTGAGACTTTGCAACTTGCAGCAGTCGCGAATTGTGGTGTCTCAGGCGAAAATCAAGTGAACGCAGTTACTTTTCAAGCTAATATTATGAAGCGAAATTTCGCATCTGTTGTTTCTGCACCAAACGCACATTGGGACCTTGGTAATTGCGAAATTTGAAAAGACTTATCATCTTGTAAATGTATCGTATTCAAATTCATTGGTTGCGTTAGCCTAATTTTATTTCAGTTGTTCTCTTCCACTTATACATACGCATACGTTCTTTCATCCTCATTAATCTCATATTGTTTTATGTTTAATAATGATTGTTATTGATACTCTGAACATGATTATTACTGTTAATAATATTGATACATATTTTGAAAGTTGGGGAATTCACTGAAAAAAATTAAAATTTTAAAATGGTTTTCGTTATCGTGGATGGATTAAGCGATTACAAATATTTGGTGGGTACACCTCGTCTCTTTTTATGATTGTATCGTTTCATGTTATCTTTTCTTTGTTATAATGATTAGATCTGTTATTTTTGTGCATTGAATTTATATACAAATGCATCCGTCAGAAACAATATTTTTAAATGTTGATGATCCTAGTAAATACATATACCTTGTATATTTCACATAATAATTATAAAATAATTTGATTGTAGTGTTACATGTGGAACTTGTTTCGAATTAACCTAAAATTATATGTGGTGTGATATATTTTACGTACAGTGTGATCTACTTTATAAACTATAAGCTATCAGCAAATACTCATTAAGAGTATATTTGCAAGAACATTACATACGTAACGATGTTATTTGTTCTTCATCTAGGGCAGGGTTTCTAAACCGGAGGTGCATGACGGCATGCCAGGGGACGTGAGAGAGGGTGGCGTGAGTGACGGGTGTGGAAGGGGTTGCGGGGCCATCTTAAGATTTTCTAGGGTGTGCACGATACAAAAAGGTTCAGAAGCACCCATCTAAGGCCAGAACCGGTGGACGGCTCTGCATTTATGATCGTCTTCTTCTGTAACGACTACACTCTCCGATTAAACGACTTTTCGATTACGACTTCTGCGTTCCCATCACCTTAACGAAGCAACAGTGTGATGATATGGATGCCTGCTTGCATTGTGCAAGTCTCGAATTGTTGCTATGCGATATCCACTGACTGTTGATGTCCTCATTCAAACGCCGACACGTCTCACTATAAGTAAACTGTGAGCTTTATGAAGTTTAGTGGATGTTTATTTATTCGCTTCTTCAGCAGTCATTTTTATCAGCTATCAATTCGAACTGCTCATCACAATTCGAATGCATCTGTTGAAACGAAGTGATGAATTTTATTGGAATATAAACAGTATTATACAATACTCGTATATGCATACAATACTTTGCTTTGTGCTTTTTCAAGCAAATTTGTTGAAGAAATGAACGGCTGAGCAACATCACATGAATAATATCATCACAATACGGCAATTGTAATACACTGAACAGAACGATAATAACTGTGAAGAACGATAATGATGATATCAATAATAATAATAATAAGATTCAACGATCCATGGAAAAATATTTTAACGATGCCAACGTGTGCTCTCTATTCAGTCTTGATAAAAACGTGGCTCGTAACTGTAAATGAAATGAAATTAGTATGATAAGTATTACATTGTGAATTCATCATTTCGGCCATTCCTCTTGAGAAACGTGAAGTTACTTTGATAAAGTAATCATAATAACAATAGTAATGATAACAATAATAGCAATAATAACAACAATAATAATAGTAGCAATAATAACAAATTAAAAAGTTTAAATTCTACTTTAACAATAAGACAAATAACTTCGAAGGATGCAATAAGTTACTTGTAATTCCGCAGCACTGATCGTTTTTTTACCCGATTCAACGGGACGTTTAGCAAGAATTGTTTCGGCTGTATACAACAAGACTAAGTCATCAAGTCGTGATTCGTAGCTTGCACGTAACTGAAGTAATAATGGACATGTAATGGTAATAAATAATGAAATGATATGCAAATGACTAACAAAAGACCTACTAAGCTCAACAGTTTGCTCGTTTCTTTTCGTTCATTCTCCGAATCAGCGCTTTTCGGCATGATCATTGTTGATTCGTTGAGCAATGATTGCTGCAGCAGTTCGTTATCACCGCATCGAAACAACGATACACACAGAACGTTCGCTGCTACTCGTGGATCCGGTCGCTGGAAGCGTACAAAAGTAAATTACAAACTAAAATTATAACAAACGAACAAGAACCATTACAAACATGTGTAAGTATTCCCTTCATAAAATAGCTTCGTTGGAATTATTGTCATTGATGCTTCTTATTGTTTCGAAATGGTGTACTTCGGATAGACTGTTTAGATCATTGGTTATTTTAGAACAACAACACAATAGTTGTTTGGCACAAAGGTTACTTTCATTAGAGTTTGATGTTGGGGGTTTAAACTCGAAATGAGCAACTTTAAGTTCGATCTTAGTTTTGTAAATTGAATCTTTCGTTTGGTGTCTTTTAAAGAAACAACAACGAGACTGATACTGCGCAAATTGTTGTGTTACCTAGAACAGTTACGGTAATCTAAATCACACGAGTACTATCATCATCAGTATTTTACAGTTATTGCAATATGCACATATACACATTAGTTATTTCATCTTATTTTTTATTGTTCTGAGTTGTTGCTTTTGATGTACTCATTTTTATGATAGAGTATGAATGTAGTAATATGTGCGTATGTACCTCTGTTGGATCACATCTTAACATTTCTTTGATTAGTGTTTTGATTGCGCAAGGAAGTTGCTTTGGGAGTTCAGGCAAATCCTGCTCAGCATACGCACAACTCTTCAGACGACTATAAAATGGGTTTGTCCTGAAACGATGCATTTATTAACAAATCAAGTGAAATTTCAAGCAATCTACCAGAGAATTCTTCAGTTCCAGTTTTCTTCCTCTAATCTCCAATCTATGCGTGAATCTAAGCTTAATATTCTCGCCAGAATTTTATCGATCGATAGGTCACTCAGACGGTGCAGGCAGTTTACTAATCATAACCAGATAATGCAGAGAGATACAAAGAGAAGAGCACTACAGCAACAAATCCATATACGTAAGCGTATGTACCTGGTATAAATTTCATAACCTAGTGTAGCGGCAGCCCAAAGATCGGCCATTCGGAAGTTGACGTACTGGTTTGGACCAGGACGTGCGTTACGGATCTGAACTACTGAATGTGTGTCTAAACTTTGTTTTTGTTTAGCATCTTCAGCATGCTTTACATTTTATATGAACACAACATTTCATACTCTGCTCACGAACTGATACAGTTTCTATTGACGAGATTAATGAATCTGGTTGTCTTTCCACATGAAATGTCCTTATAAATATTTGTTTAGCTACAATAAGGTGGGAAATGGGTAGGGGTTTGACCTCCATATTTGTGTAACAGTGTTTTCAAGGTGTTTGTTTGATTACAAGAAATTAATTCTTTTCATATAATAGACAAATTTTCGGTGGCGAACTTTATGATAAATAGATCAGTTTCTTCTAAATTTGCTGTTGGAAAGCAATGGATAATGAGAGGAGAGCGGAACTGTGGTCAGATGGATTGTTGGAGGGAGGGAATGAGATGTTCAAAGAAGGTGCCGAATGCAAGACTATGACAAATAAGTAAGTGAAAGATAGTAGCAATCAACGAACTTCTGGTGCTCTCAACGCCAAATTTCCACCCAGATCGATTGTATCATCCGGATATGCGACCGTCCAAGAATCAGTCGCAAGTGCACACCCGAAATCACTTACCACCAAATGGGGAACGTCTTCTTCAAATAAGAATTACGTGTTCAGTGTACCTACTTGGCACTTCAATAATTATGAGTATAATAACATCAACGACTAATAATACACGAACCTGGTGAATCAAAATCAAGAAGTATATTATCGGATTTCATATCGCGATGACTGATCATATTTTCATACAAGAAAACGATTGCTTCAAGTAATTGAGCAAACAGAACACGTGCACTCCAGAGATTACGTTTCACCGTCAGTACATACTCACGTAATGTCATTCGATACCTTCAAATTCTTATTATCTATTCATTAATCCATCAACATCATATTTTTACCGAGGATAGGTAATATTTTTTAAATAATTCTTGTAAACAACACATTATTTGTGGGACGAGGAGGGGAGAGTGAGCATCTGCTTTTAATGGAAAACTACGGATTTACCAAGTGGTTTTTTTTTTTTTTTTAATTTTGCTTAAGAATGTGATAATATAAACATACACTGACCGTTTCATAACAATGAATAAAGTCTTGGGTTCCTCAATAATTAACTCATAAAAATTAGCGTTTGGTAAAGCTTCTGGATAAAGTGAGCGTGCATCACTCAGTATCGGCATTCGATCCGTGAATGCTGTATAAATCTTGATAACATTTGGATGACTTTTTGGTAGTATTCGTAATCTGTAATTGAAGTTTTATTTATATACAGAAATTTAATTCATACGTATATATTCATCCGTTTATTTATTGCTTATTTATGAAACAATTTTA